ATATATTGGCTAAAATTATTTCTAGTTTATTTAATTAATTATTAATCAATTAATTAGACGTGAGCGCCGTGTTGTATTGTAGTATTGCGTGGTATCTTAATAATTAATGCACCACTTTCTTTCTTTTCTTTTCATACATAATGTACCACTTTCTACATATAAATGTCAATAATATGTCAATATCATCAACATATAATTAATTTAATATATCAAATAAAAGTTTTGTGAGCCAGCCGCCTTAATAAGTGATTAGTCTCATCACACCACATGAACAAGACGGGAGACAAATTTTCAGCCAAATTGGATATGGCATGTTCCCTATAATCTATCTAATTACAATATTCCATATCATAATTTTTTGTCACATTATTTTAATTGATTTTATCTTTATAGTAAAATATATATTTAATTTCGTATATTTTTTTCTCTCTGCTATTATTAATGCTATAATCAATTATATTTAATATTATTTAAATATTATAATTTTATTAGATGAATTATAAATAACGTGATACCTCTTATGTGCTTAAGAATTTTATCCAATAAATGCTCTTGATTGCCTCTCGGCATATTGTATACTCTTTTTATGATGATCAATAACAAGCCTACATGAGTTGCATCTTGAGGATTCACCAGAATGAGAGTATGCCTTTGGGCTCAAAAGCGCGTCCATAAATCGGTAGCAAGATTTGATCTCAGTGAAGAATCAGGATATACTGTCGTTCTTGATGGTCAGTGCAGATCCGAAGGGGAAGGTGAGATCAGATGATGAAGTTGCTGATAAAGTTATGGGATTGACTACAGCAGCTTTTAACTCTCCATGCATCGCTTTGACGTTCGCCACGAAATACTTGGCAGAAAACCCTCAAGTTTACCAAAGGATCAGAGATGGTACGTTCGTGGGGGTGTGTGCATATAAAATCTTTTTGTGATTCCTTTTTCTGGATTGTAATTGGTGTCTGATTAAAAGCAGAGCAAATGGAGATTGTTGCATCTATTTAATAAAAATTAATTGTTATAACAAAATTTATATTTGAATATATTTTTTTTAAAATTAATTTAATACACTGAAAGTTATTTGATTTGTGATAGTGAAATGTATTTTTAAATATATAATTATAAAAAAGAACATTGATTTATAATGATTCACAATTTTTATTATACAAATGTAATATATTTAAAATATTTAAAAAATACTATAAAGATTTTAAATAACATAAATTTTGATCTATAATGTTAAAAATTTGATCTCTAGTTATTTGTATTTTTTAATTTTTAATTTTAGAACATATAATAAAGATTTGTAATTTTTATTATACATTAGTGCTAAAAAGTAACATGATTAATTATTTAATTTATAATGCTAAAAAAATTGATACCTAATTATTATTATTGAAATAATAATTATATTTTTAATGAATTAAATATTTTTTAAATAAAAAATAAGATATTAAACTTAGGATAGTACAGTCAAATAACATCTTACTTTTTAAAAATTTTAAATAGTTACATTTTAGAAATTCACTTTCAACTACTATTTGAATGTATTTTTAAAATATACTTTCTTGTAAAATATTTTACTCAAATAATTTTTAATTTTTTAAAAATAAAATTTTACTTTTTGAATATAAAACAGAAAAAAATCAAATGGATCCTAAAGAAGCTGGAGGGGCTCTGACCCTGAACGACTGACAGAGAATGAAATATTCATGGAATGTGTTGTTGGAAGTGATGACAGTGATCTCTCCTCCCTCCTCTTCAGGGAACCTTCCGAGAGGCCACGTCTGACTTTACATATGACGGCTACATTGTTCTAAAGGCTGGAAGGTAGGGTCCAATATTATATTATCATGAAACCAGATTTCATTGAACAAATCCATGCCTTTTTTTCCCCCTCCAACAAGCTAACATGCATGTTATTAGAACGTGGGAATAAGCAGACTCGTCTTGCTATGACAAGTTCCCATAGGATGGAACTAATCTTAATAAGAGATATGGTTTCTTTTTTCTTGAATGTAATCCTCTCTCTGTAACAATTTATAATAGCACATCTGGAAGATTGGAAATCCCAAAATATAAGATATTATACTTTAACAAAAATAAAATTTTATTAATTATGCTTTTTTAATATTAATCTTCTCATTATATTGTCTTTTTAATATATTTTTTTTACAAATGAGGTATTAAATGAATGACATTTTCTTAAGTTTATATTTTTTTTAAATAAGAGTGTAAAGTATATTTAATAAACTTTATTGATATATGTGATTTTACCTAAAAGTGTGTTATAAATTAAAATGAAGGTAGAATAAGTTAATTTCAACTAATTCACGCATATCAGAAAGTGTTGTTAACACATTAAAGTTGTCATAAAATTGAAATAATTTTTAATATTACACTATTAGTAATTACATTATGAAAACCCCATATAATATCTCCTTCCTTACGCATATAATGTGTTCGGTTTGTGCGTGAGGCAGGTGTACTGGACGGTGAGCTCTATCAACAAAGACCCAAAAATATTTGCAGAACCAGACAAGTTTGATCCGACAATGTTTGAGGATGAGATTCCACCATTCTTGAACATGCCATTTGGAGGGGGTCCAAGAATTTGCCCTGGAAAAGATTTTGCGAAGCTTCAAATGCTCATTTATCTTCATTACGTCGTCACCTTCTTCAAATGGCAACTCATCAATCTCAATCCCAAGGTTCTTGCAGCCATGAACGCCATACCACTCGATGGCGTTTGGGTTCGTCTTCAGCGCTGTGTTCAGTAGACGAAGCACAAAGCAGCCTCCTTTATACATTGTATATTATAAAAAATAGATGAAAGCAGCCATGGCTATACCATATATTGTGTCGTGTGTGTGTACATGTGTCGTGTGTACGTGTGTGTGTGTGTGTGTGTGTGTGTCATGTGTCATATTTGTTTGCTCGATCGTATATACATATTGTAATAAAAATGGCTTCCTATAGTTTGAAACCTCTCTTTTTGTTAGGGGTGTTCAGAGATGTACTTGTTTTGGTCGGCTAAAAAAAAAAAAATTGGGATGAAATGTTTATGTGATGAGACAGAAAAGGGGTCAAGTTAGTATAGGAATTGAGATATCTTTCAGGACGTCTAGTCCTGTCTTGATATATATATATATATATATTATATGCTAATTATTATATCATTTTTATTGTTTATTTGTTTATGTTTTCTGTTTATTTTTACTTTATTTAATTTTGCATTTTTTTGTGATATTTGATCTAGCCAAGCAAGTTGTGAAATATTTTCTCATAATTATTGATATTGATTTGAGGAATTCAAAATGCAAATCTGGATTGTTGTCATTTAAATAATTTAATGAGTTTATTTTTTAAGTCAATGCTTGGGCTCAATTGTTGTTGCTTATTACAATATGAGCTTGTAATAGACTCTAACCAAATAGCCTATACATGTTGGGGCGTCTGATGTCTTTATATTTATTTATTTATATGTTAAAATTCAATTGATTAATCATATATATATAAGTTATTTGTATGTGTTAGTTGAGTATCAGTAGTTATTTGAATATATAAGTATACTTGCTAAAACAAGTAAGAGTGGTTATTAGGACATTTCAATCCGGTATCAATTCCATTCCAAATCCTATAGGCTATCAGAGTGAGTTGGGATACAAAACAAAATTTGAATCTCCATCATTTTTTGGGATTTGACAGAGGATTTAAGTGTCTCGGTTCTGTCCCATTCAGTGGACAACTCTACTTTTAATGTCCAAAAGTTTCAAAACAATGATGATGATTTTCCTTTTACATCGATCTTTCGATCTCTCCTACTTAAAAGTTAAAAACCATAGGTTAAAATATTGTGTTTTGTCGTGTTATTGACGAGCATCATGACATCGGGCTTGATTCTTTACACACACACACACACACACACAATTCTGTTTTCTGACGCCATGTCGCTAGAATTTGTTCTTGCACATACAATTGACTTTTCTTTAATAGCAGTTTTGACATTCAATAGCAAATATCTGACCCCTTTCACCAGTTATTTCTTTTTCTATCCGGAATTGTTCACTTTTATTATTTACAACATTCCCGATTTGAACTTCATGTGTCTTTCATTAGTTCGATGTAGAATTTCATTGATTCTTTTAATTCATTCAAGAGCACTAGTAACGAAAGTGGACTCTTAAAACTTTTCATATATAATGAATTGAATTGTAATATATCAAAAGATAGTGAAAAATGGCAATACATATGTATGGCTGATGAGTCATGCCCAACAATCATTGATCTATGGATTTAACAAAATTCTAGTTGGTAAAGAAATGAAAACATTCTTATTTTCCAGTCAACTCTAATTAACCAAGCCACAATGGCATACTGAATTTCCTATAACTCTATATAATTAATAAAGCTCCTTAATTCTTACACTTTTTTTTTTTACCAACATTAATTCTTACACTTTAGAAGAACAAAGAGCATAACTAGTTTTAACTTCCTAGGATTCATGATATCTGTAGAAATTCTTTTACTTTACTTTCTAGTTAAGCTGCTCATCAACAATTCCACGTGAATTGAATCATATTTCTTGAAGAATTAGTCTCACATCCTCAACTGTCTATGAATACCTTAAAAAAAAAAAAACGGTACCACGTAATTTTTTTTATTTTTTAAATTCGTGTTTAATTTTTTAGGATTAAAATACAAAAATGCTCTGTACCGACAAAATGGTCATCCCTGCACTCCAATGAGCCCAGGAATCTCCTCCTCCAGCGATTTTGTGGATGTTCACTGCTCTTAAGCAAGAAAGACTCAAACCCTCGTGCTTGATTTTACTTATATGGAGGGAAAAAAGCAGAAAAATGTTTAACCAGACAAACTGAATTGGTTTTTCAACTGATAATTATACTTGGTCCTTTCGCTTCTTGTCTCTTTTTTCTAGATTTATACTAAAACTTTTTCCATTTAAATAATTCTTCAGATAAATTTGTCTCCCTTTATCATTTATGGAGACAGGTTTGTGCAATTCTGTTTTTGCCTGAAGTGTTGGTGTAATTCTTTACTAAAAGGTTTTTCCCCTTTGCATGTTTAGTGATCTGGTTATCAGCCTATTATAGTTCTTTCTTCAAGGACAGATGTATTAGGCTTTTAATTACGTGCACTTAGCATAGACTCTGAATATGTATATAAGTGTGAAGCTACCCCATTTTGGTAACGCCTTCTCGACCAATTCCGACTCCAGTAGAGCAGGAAAATAACTATGTCATATGTACTGTGTTCTTTACATGTATATTTCACATGAACAATACATAGTTTAGGCTTTTGCTTAATTTATTATCCTGAATAATTTTGTTACACGTTAATATCTAGATAATTATGAGAGAGCCCTCAGTGGGTTTGAGATTGCTGCTTTAAAGGATACAAGTCTAAATGCTACTCCAGAGGTTCAGAAGATAGTAAGCCTGCTTGACAAGTTGGACTATCTTATGAGGGTAACAAAATTTTGCATTAGATGTAGGCTATGAAATTCTGTAGTGGTAATATAAAGCTAGTTGTTTCTTGAAAGCTATATTTATTTGATTCGTTTGGTAATTTGATTTTCCAGCATGACTCATACAATGATAGAAACTAGTAATTTCACTCAGCATTCAAGTTAATCCCCACTTGTGCTCCCCTTCACGAAACAAGAAATTGATTATTAGAATTAGTCAGATATTAGAGTGCTTTTGTTTTATGTAGTGATCTAAAAACTGAATTGAACTGGATGGTCGGACCATCGACCGGTCAAGCTAACAGTTCGGTCAAACCAAAAAAACCGTTTGGGGAGTTGGGTTAGATTGGACCACTTTGAACCAGTGGTTGGAACGAAAACCAAAATCAAGCCGAGAATTAGTTCCGGTTTTCAAAAATTGAACTGTTCAAAAAATGCCTCTTTTTTATTTTTTGTCAAATTTGTTTAAAAAATGATCAATTTTTTTAATCATTTGATATTATATTGCATTATGTGGTTTATTAAGTCATGATAAACTTAAAATATTTAATTTTATTTTTAAGTTAAGTGGCAATTTTATATTTATTTCTTATATTTAAATTATTATATATATATAATTTTTTAATTTAATTATTACGTCACCAGTTCGACCATTGGTCTAATCGGGTTGAACCATGTGAACTGTGAACTGCTAACCTTTTCGGTTCAATATCCAATTCTGTTCAAAAAATATTGGTTTATGTAAAATTTATATGCAGGGGGGAAATTTAAAAGCTAAGCGAATGGCAAGTTTGGTCTCACTTTTAGCTGCTTTTAATTGTAAGCTACCTTCTGAACTATGAATTTCAGTTCATGTCTCGTTACATTTTTGTTGAGCTCTCTTTCCCTCTTACTTTTTTGGTCCCATATTTAATGTGCTCACTGTATTCGTGTCTTCCCTCCTGTGAAAGTGAATCCACAATACAATAGAGCTACTATAGACGGTATGTTGGAGGGTCTGAACAGAGCCATAGCCATAGACGGGAATCTACTATTCTTTGTTTCGAATGACATTCTTGAAGTTCCCATATCCTGAGGACTATCTCTCATGTTTGAATGTCTAATGTGAATTAGTTGCAAGATTATGTCCAGGGGCGGAACCAGCTCTAGATTTGTTTTTTTTTGGGGGGGGGGGGGGGGAGTATTTTAAAAATAAATATACACATATATATGTTACAAAATTTTGACTAATTTTATAACTTATAAAATTGTTTGTAAATCATTAAATCATTTGTAATTATATAAATATTTAAAAATTCATATTTTTTTAATTATAAAATCCTTTGACATAACTTGTTTGGAAGAGGACAACTCATTGAATGACATTTAAATTTTAAAAGATTAGCCTCATGGCTGTTGACTGTAGAAATAACTTAAGAATTGGGAAAAAACATATTACAGGATCTAGCTAAAATTTATTTTAATGGACAATAAAAATTAATTAAAATAAAAAACTAAAAAATTGAAATGACTCAGGCATGATATCCTTGAAAATAATATGATCAACATACGAATATCATTTCCTTCAATAAACTTTTAACTTTTTGGGTGGAAAAAAAAAAGAATAAGCTTAATTTAACTGGACCTCGCCATCATCCCCCCCCCCCTCCCACTACTTCCTTCACACGCCATTGATGAGATGAGAGAAGACAATGGTCTTCAGTCACCCTGTTTCGGCTTCTGGGAATTCACTTCCTTTCTATCTCATCATGTATAAAATAGGTGAGGAAGTTGCATGGCCCCCCTCAATGATAACGCAGTTTCGCCCCTGATTATGTTAGAATTTCATTGCATGCTGTATTAAATGTCTATGCCTTATATGTTGACTTTATTGAAATTATTTATTTTTTATTATTTTTTATATATAGAATCTTTTTCTATTATTGTATTTTGTGTTTACCAGATTTTTTTGTAAGGAATGGTGGGTTGGGAAGGGAATAAGTTGGATAGGAAATCAGGATTTTCAAATTTCACAATGGTTTTCTCAGAGAAAACAACCATTAGTGAATATAATTGCAAGTTTATGATTAACTAGATGTGACGTCCTAGGTGAGGTATACAATTCATGGCTTGCATACAGTGCAGCTTCTATAGATTATATACATATACATACACATACACATATATATACTGATTTTTATGTTAATTAAAATATAAAAATTAAATATCCAACAATAACAACAAGTCTTATCTCATTAGGTAGGGTTATAAATTAAATATACATCTAATTTAAAATGAAAGACGGGGGAGGCACACACCTTTTTCTTGCTAATGATTGTGATTATGCTTTCCCACATATACTGAAGAGTCTTTGAGGCATTCCCATTTTTCATTGTAGGTTACTTGTTTCTTTGTTACATCCTAACTAGTATTGAGCTAGCTTTTTACTTATAATTGTTTTGTCTTGAACCTAAAAGTCAAAGCTACAATAATATTTTTGATTTAACAAAAATTTATAATGTGAGGTGATAGGTGCTCACAATAGTAAAATGAAATAAAAGAAAAAAATCTATTAAAATGGTATAGAATAAGAATTTTGTTTTAAACTTCTCTCAATAGCTATGCTTAGGAGAATCTCCAAAGGATTTAAAAAACTATTTTATTGATGATGATATGCTAGCTTCAAGGTTGCTAGTCATATTTATAATACTAAATACACTCTAAAATAAAATCTAGTTAACTATCTAAGATAATAAATAAAATTTAGATAACTAGATAACTAAATAAAATCTCCTAAAATCTAAAATACTGAAAAATAGATAAAATACTGAATCTCAATAAAATCTAAAGAATTAAATAGAATATAAAGAAATATTTAAAAACTAAATAAAATACTAAATCAATTGAAATTAATCCTAATTTATCTTTTGCCGCTTCCTTCTTGAATAAGTCTGAATTTTATTTGAAATCTTATCAATTACCCCCTCTTGAAAACTCAACTTGTCCTCAAGTTGAAAAGAAGGAAATGGAGCATGTAATAGGTCGTATTCCTCCCAACTTGCCTCTTCCACGGGTCGCTCAAGCCATTCTACCAATAATTCAAGCGAATGATGATGAGTCTATCTATAATCTAAGACTCGGTGAGGCCTTACATGTAACTCAAAATCTGCTAATAGTGGTAAGGAAGCTGGTGTAATTGGTGGAGCCATCCCATGAGCCTGGCGTAAGAGAGATACATGGAAAATAGGGTGAATACGGGCGTCAGTTGGCAATTCCAATTTATAAGCTACTTTACCAATTCTTCGAAGAATCTTATAGGGCCTAAAGAAGTGAGGTGATAATTTGTCAAACTTTTGCTTGGTAAGTGATTGTTAGCGAAAAGGCTGTACTCACAACTACAACATATCGCCTACAGGATACTCAACTTCCCCTCGATGCTTGTCAGCATAAGCCTTCATTTGGTCCTGAGCCTTACTTAAATCATCCTTTAGAAGTTGGATCATTGAATCTCTGGTCTCAAGTTGATCTTCCAAGTCAGCTACAGGTGTTTCTCCTTTCACTTAAGGAAGCAGGGGAGGAGGATCTCTCCCGTATACTAGTTTGAAAGGTGAATGGTTGGTTGACGCATAATGACCTGTGTTGTATAAATATTTTGCCCAGCAAAGAAACTTGTGCCAAGATCTGGGTTGCTTATGGGCAAAACATCACAGATAGGCTTCAAGACCATGGTTGACCACTTCTGTTTGACTATTTGTTTATGGATGGTAAGCAGTACTCATCTTCAACTTGGTCTGGCTTAATCAAAATAACTCTTGCCAGAATAAGCTCATGAAGATAAGGTCCCTATCATAGATAATTAAGCGAGGTACCCCATGTAGGTGAATAATTTCCTCACAAAAGATTGTAGCCACCTTCTTTACAGTATAAGGATGCGAAAGAGCAAGAAAATATGCACACTTTCTTAAACGATCCACTACTACCAAAATAACCTCAAACCCACCTGACTTTGGAAGACCGATGATAAAATCAAGGGAAATGTCTTCCTAAATTTGAGAGGATATGGGTAAGGGTTGAAGAAGTCCGGCTAGTGCCAGGGTTTGATACTTATTTTGCTGAAAAGTAGCACAATGTTGCACATATGCCTTTATATTCGCTTTCATTGTTAGCCAATAAAAATTCTCTGCGAGACACTTAAATGTTTTAAGAAAATCACCATGCCTTCCAATAGTAGTAGAATGGGCTTTTGCTAGCAACTTGGGTCGCAACTGTGATGAATAAGGAATGACTACTCTGTGGTCATGGAAATTTTTTTTATTAACAAGGTGGAATCTAGGTTAGAAAGTCAGATCTTTCTGTAAATCCTTCATTATTTCTTTAGTGAAAGGATCCAATGTCAACTCAGAAGAAAGGTTGTCCGACTCAGTAGCAAAAGGTACTGCCATTTGAAAAAAAATTGGCAAGTTGTGGCAATGCATCAACCCCCTTATTCTCCACTCCTACCTTGTGGATGATGGTAAAATTAAAGGGTAAGAGTTTGATGATCAGCCGCTGTTGAGTGTTCGTTGTGATACGTTGTTATAGTAAATATTGGAGACCTAGCATGGTCTATTATGACAACATCTAAATCTGATGGTACCCATATCATAGATCCAGTTTGGAAAAGTAAACTGCCTCATATAGTTCATCTAATAACTCATCAATATTGGGAATTGAATACTTATCTAGGATTGTAATGCTGTTCAATTTTTGATAGTCTATACAAAATCGCCATGAACCATCTTTTTTTGTGACCAATAATACTGGGCTGGCAAATGGACTAGAACTAGGACGAATAAAACCTTTGTTCAATAATTCTTTCACTTGTTTCTCAAGTTCATCCTTTTGATAATGTGGATACTTGTATGGTTATAAGTTGGGTGGTTTGGCCCCAGGTAGTAGGGGAATGGTATGTGAGTAATTTCTGAATGGTGGTAAGGTTGTGGGTTCTTCAAAAATAGCTGGGAAGTCTACAAATAAAGGTTCAGGGTTGAAATCTATGAAGGGTTAAGAGTCAGCGAAAGCTTCTATTTGTTGAATTGAATTAAATTGAGCACCTTTAGTAGTGTCAGGGACTCCTTATAGCTCATACCTCTTGCCATTCAACTAGAAAATCATAAAGAGTTCATTCCAATTGGCTTGTACTGTATTAAGAGATACTAGCTACTTAATGCCCAGTACTAGATTCGCCCCTCCTAAGGAAAATGGGAAAAAATCTTCTTTAATAGTCAGCTCTGTGAGCTTAACTCCTATATCTTTACATACTTGGTTGTAGCGTACAACACAACTATTTCCAATTTGGACTCTGAATGCAGAAATATAATGAGTAGGAAGACGTAATTCTTGCACTAATGAGTCTAATATAAAATTATGAGTGGACCCACTATCTACAAGTAACAAGACTTCTTTTATGAGCAGTGTCCCTTTAAGTTTCATTGCTGCCCCTGTGGTGCTACCTAAAATAACATTTAATGAAATTTTTGCCCCCTCTATTGTAATATTATCGGGTTCACGGTCTTCAAAAGGGGAAATGACTTCTTCTCTTTCTTCTATGATTTCCATGAGAGAAAGCAACCCTGACAACGGTGCTCAAGCTGAAACATGTCTCCACAGTGAAAACACAGCCCCTTATCTCTCCATCTCTGTTATTCGACATCTAGGGTTGAATTTCTGGTTGACGCCGAACTCACTGGTTTGCTTTGAGGTAAGCGATCTAAAGTTGAGGTAAGTGATCTCTGCAAAGATGGCGAGAATGAGAGATCTAAAGTTCTCTAATTGCATGCACCAGGTGCAGTATGGAAATGGGTTTAGGTCTGGGTCGGGTTGGCTTTGGTTTTGTTGAGACCTACCCACTTTATTTTTGATTTCCAGTGCTAGACTTACCGCTCGGTAGACTGATCTTGGCTTATGGATGTGTATATCTGATCTCAACTCCTCTTTCAATCCGTTCATGAAGACGCCGAGCAAGCAATGCTTTGGCCAGTTCTTCACCTGCGCTGATCGTTTTGCAAACTCTGTGAGGTAATCCTATACTGACCCTTCTTGCTTAATGCTACAAAGAAACTCATCTAGATTTTGGTATTCGAGGGGCCCGAAATTCTCCTGAAACACTGCCACAAGTTCATTCTAGTAATGGATTGTTTTTTCGTGGCTGATCCAAGCGAAAAGATCTAACGCATCACCCTCTAATGATAATGATGCCACGTCTACCTTCTCTTTCTCAGGTGTGTTATAGTATTTAAAAAACTTTTCAGCCTTATATCCAGCCTTATGGGTTACCTCCATTAAATTTAGAAATTCAATTTTGGTGTGATGAAATCTGGTGCGTCTACGATTTTCTTGCTCGTCTTCGCTCTCTTCATCTTCATAAGAGTGTTTATAGTGTGAATCTCTCAGTTTCTTGATTGCTGAGGTTTCAAGAGCCTTTACCTTTCTTTTAATAAATTGAGAGTTTTAAGTTTTCGAGCAATTGTAGCTAATTGGTTTGACATGAGTGAATTCAAATTTTCTGAGTCGTTATTGGATGAGTTGTCAAACGGATTGGTTTCTTGACCGCTACGAGGTGATAACCATGGCTTTGATACCAAATTGATAGATGCTCACGATAGTAAAATGAAATAAGAGAAATAAATTTATTAAACTGGTATAGAACAAGAATTTTGTTCTAAACTTCTCTCAATAGCCACGCTTAAAAGAATCTCCAAAGGGTTTAAAATACTATTTTATTAATGATGATATGCTAGCTTCAAGGTTGCTAGTCATATTTATAATGCTAAATACACTCTAAAATAAAATCTAGATAACTATCTAAGATAATAAATAAAATCTAGATAACTAGATAACTAAATAAAATCTCCTAAAATCTAAAATACTCAATAATAGATAAAATACTAAATCTCAATAAAATCTAAAGAATTAAATAGAATATAAAGAAATATTTAAATTAATCCTAATTTATCTTTTTCCGCTTTCTTCTTGAATAAGTCTGAATTTTATCTAGAATCTTATCACAAGGTTGATAAATTAATAAATAATTAAATACACATTGGGATATATTAGATCCATGGCAGTAGGGCAGTCGTGAAAACTACTCAGAAACTAGTTTGAGAGCCAACAATTTTATATGCTAATTCTGATTTCATATAACTTGTTTTCTTTTTATTCTGCAGATACTACTTGCTTTGTGACTCAAATCAAAATTGCTTTGTTCTTACAGTTTATGGCATACATATAGATGTGATAAGAGTTTGTTGCTGCAGTTTTATCTTATTTATCCTTTTAATGTATTTGAAGCCTATTAGCCATAGTATATCGTAAAATACTATTGTTTAAGAAAGAGATACTACATTATGATATGCTTATTTTAGTGTACACATGCTTCGGAGCCGAGATGACGTGGCAAGCCAGACACAGACACGACAGAAATATGAAGTGCTTATCAGATTTAAAGTGTTGTTTATGTTTAATGTTAGTGTGCAACTAGTGTCAAGCAACTGCTTTTCTGAAAGTGTAGTGTGTAACTGCCGTAGATCTGCATGAACTTTTATTAGATGATCTATAAGATCAAGAACTGATTGCTGGCAAACCCTTCGTGTCAGAGTTATCTCCATTAATGCGAACGTCATCTAAGCCCAAACCATAAGAAGAAAAGGAAAGAAAAAAATGAGCTATCTATCATATTGATATTTTACATCAGTAGTGGAATTAATTGGTCCTTTCTTTTATTTATCAGATCAAGGAAAGAGATCAGCTAACGCTGCTTGATCCATATTTCCGGCAGGTTGATTTTTCATGGAAGAAGAAGGTATGCTTGCATATCCAATTCATGCTTGCTTTCTTTTGGATTTCCATTTGCTGGTTAAACCTGTTTCATGGAACTCTGAACTTACTCATGTTCTGGTTGTTGTATTAATCCAAGGATTTCCTAATTCTCCAATGTCCATATGATAAAACTAGTTACTCCGACAAAGTATTCAACTTGTGTTATGTGTGTACATCTCAAATTATCTGTGACCCCTCAACAAGTTGTTCGCTCGTCAATACATGCACAACACAAACCCTGAGGGGAGACTCATTAACATGAGCCTTGCTTCTTTGGCTAATTGGCTGTTTGTTCTTAGTTTGGAATGGTGTATATTTCTTTTGTAAATACATTTAGGTGATTTTGCCGCCCCAGCTCATGGATTGAAGTTACTATGGAGAGAGGTTTTGGTTTTGGTTTTCATTTTTTTGGAAATCAAGTTCAGTAAACGTTTAGCACAGTGATTTTTAAGATTGTTGTTGGAGGGGCAGCTTTAGCAAGACCACCTCACCAGTAGACCATGTTGTGCATTGTTATTGTGGATAAAACTTGCGTGTAAAATTCGAGACTACGTTGATTGATATAAGAAAGATTTTTTTTTTCTTTCAAAGGAAATATTTACAAGTAGTTTAACTTAAAATTGATTAATTTATCATACTTGTTTTTGCACAAATTTTTTTAAAGACGTGTTAATAATATGTCAAATTTAAGAGATTTATTAGTAATTAATTTTTTTTACCTGGGACTTATCTGTAATTTTTCCTAGAAATTATTAAATTGTGTTTGTATCCTTGATATAATACACACAACCACATTTGGAGTTTGGACTATGTCTTTTTTTTTTTTGAAAAAAAAAATTATACATTTAGACTTTGCTAAGTGTAGAAATGAAATGAGAACTTATTCCCTAATACCAAACGAAGCCACAATGTGGATAAGATAAAGGAATATTGAATGAGTCAATTCTTTTTTTCTTCACTGACGAGTCCTTGCATTAATGCCAGCCAAAGGATAGTATTTTTGGTATTTTCTACATATTTTGTATCAATTAGTAGTGTCATATCTATTTCATATTAATTAATAAATTAATAATTTGAAGTTAATAGATTCATTGAGGCAGACTCGGTAAATTAAAAGAAGACATACACAACGTCAGTCGTGTCATAATTTTGTTTGAAATTAAAGTCCTTCGATCGAAAATAATTTTGATCACGAAACTAAAAATTTCATGACCTCAAAATAAATATAGAAATAAATATCTGCCAAGAGGGGTGCTCACATTTAGTATCTTGCCATGTCTCAAATAAAATCATTTTTAATATGAGAATACTTATTAGCAACAAAAAAATTTAAAAATAAATAAATCTGATTCTTAAATTAAAATTGGGAAGGGCTTATAGCTTTAATAACAAGGTTGTCTAGCCTCATTAACTAAGCATTGGAAATTCAAACATATGTATGTTAAAAAATTTAAATTATAACTATAATGGAGAAAACTTTGTCCAAAGTGTACCACAAGACATTACAGTCCCACCAAGGATTTGAACCTTTGCTAATTATATTGTGAAAGGTTAGTCTTTTTTATTAGGACTACCTTAATGGTAGAGATAATGAGGGATAAAGGGGAGTTGCAACCCTCCTAACTTTTTAATTTTTCTTAATAAACTATAGGATTTATATATTTTTGGCCTCTCAAGTATATTTGATACCAATAAACTTTAACTTTACCTAAACTTTAATAATCATTTATTCAAAAGTTAAGAGATTATAATGGGCATAGTCTTATAGAAAAAGCTACTCCTCTTTATAACAACCAAGCTATTGAAATTTTTTATGAATTGTTTTGTACTTTGATATAATTTGATTTCATTGATAGAAGGATTATGTAACAATTGAGTATCGTTATTATGTTATATATTTCATTTGTCATAGTTTATTAATTGAAAAAAAAAATTAGATTAAGTGAACAAGCAATATAACTTCTTAAATTGAGTGTACAACTTTGAATCTTAAAAATGTATTTATTAAATCATTTAATACTAAAAATATCTGCAATCTTATTGAGAAATTTTACTCTTTAGATTTTCCAATCAAGAAAGATTCCATTGGAATATGGATTATAACATTATGATCTTGATATTCCCAAAGATCTTAATTTTCATAGCTTAACTATTATAAGTAAATTATGTCAAAAGTTTCTAGAGATTGAAAAATCTAATTTTGAATTCTTTGATTGACATATTACTAGGGCTTGTACAACTCTTTTATTGTCAATGGCAACCATTGAATGGACATTTTTAGCTATACATATTATAAAAAAAAAAGACATGGAAGATAATTTTTCACCAATTTAATAATGGTTTGTATTGAAAAGAAAAATTTCTGAAAAGTTTGTTGCAAATATTATAATTAATTGATGATTTTATATCATGAATTGACAGGCAAAACATAAAAAATGAAAATACATGTTTATTTTAGTTATATATTTATAAAATTGATGGTGAATATGTTAAAATATCTCTGTTATATAATATTATAGTGTGTGTGTGTGTATATTTTCTTCAATTATCATATATGTTTTGTAATCACGGTCCCTCTAAACTGAAAATCATGGCTTCGCCCGATGATATATATATATATATATATATTAATTAAGTGATGGTATATTCAAGTTATTTCACATTTTTATTTCTTTTTCTTCTAGATATGAAACATAAATTTATATCAATTGTGTTAGGGGTTTTTTATTGGTAGTTAAAAAAATTTTCTATTGACATTTTCATATCATTTTATCCAAAGTCAAGTGATAACTGATTTCTTTATTTTTTTTTTTAAAGGTTACATGGACAACTCGATCCAAATATATATATATATATATATATAAGGGGAAAGTACTATTTACGTCTCATAAAAATAAAGATTCTCACAAAATTGGGGGTTTGACAACAATTATTCAAAATTATTTAAACATGTGAAACAATTGTATGATTTATCTATTGAAATAATATATGATTGTCTGACCAAAACAAGAAAAAAGAAATAATATATGATACGCGTTCTTCGATCATTTATTTATACTTCTCTTGTTACTTATTGCCACTTGCATGCATATTATGGAAAAGTCTACGAGAGTAACATCAAAGACAGAGAATAATAATATTAGTTATTACTATAAAAAATAATAACCTGGTTCTCCAATGGCTTAAATATTTTTTAAAGTTTTTGTTAAATTAATTAATTGCTAGTTGCGATGGGTCGTCACATATACCTTCTGAAACTTGGGACGGTCGCTTAATAATGCACTTGAAAAATTTCCCTAACCAACTTTGTCGTCGTCTATAAATTAATCCACTGGATGGTAATAATCTTTCCCCTGTAATGTACCTCTACATACTATTCTTCTCTGGCATAAAATTACTAACATGGGCATAAGATGAATGGATTTGAATCTGATGAGTGGTCTAAGTTAATTTAGTTAATGAGCATCTCACATGTCATAATAATAATTATTTGATTTAGTCAAACAGTTGTTAGGAATTTTGTCATATGATATTCATAAAGTACTAAATCCCATTATTTTTGGAGGGAATGACATGTGTAAGGAGTATCCTGATAATGAATATTGTTTTGAATTTTTTGGATGAAAATATATCGAATTTTGATTCAGTGATTATAGACACTAAGCGTTTGTACCATCTGAATCATTAAAATCTATATCAATGGTTTAAACAAACTCATTCATTTATTAATGTCAAGTAAGAAAGTATGAATTTAGAATTATTGATATGAATTTTAACGATTTTAATGATGCATATACTCAATGTTTGTACTAATTACAGTCACCGAATTCAGATCTAAATATATCTCAATAATTTTCAAGTATTACCAAAATCTAAGACTGAGATACTCATTAAATGAGTGTATTTGTCTAGATGATCAAATATTAATAATCACATTAGTGGATATATATATATATATATATCAATTATTTATATATTTGGCTGACTTCTAATTCTAGCTTAATTAATTGGATGTGAGTGCCGTGTGTGTGTATTTTATTTTATTGTATATTATGGCATCTAAGAATTAATGCATCACTACTTTCTATATAATTATGGAGCTAAGTTTTCGACTTCAAGTGCCACTATACGTAATGGAGCCTCTTTTGCTTTCAATTTGTGTCATCGTTTTCACTCTGGTTTCCCTATTTGTTTACAACGCAAAGTCCCATGGAAAATCCAAGAACCTTCCGCCTGGTAGTTTCGGGTGGCCCTTCATCGGAGAAACCTATGAGTTCATCTTCTCCAACCACGATAAGTTCATAAGTGACAGAATGCAAAACTACTCTTCCAAAATATTCAAAACCCATCTCTACGGCCAACCCACCGTCGTCCTCTGTGGTCCTTCCGGCCACAAATTCATCGCTGCTAATGAAGGAAAGCTCATGACCGCATGGCGCCCAACCGCCACCCGAAAGCTCTTTCAAAGTAATTATATGTTTGTGTGTGTGTATTCTGCATATTCTGAAGATCAACTTCGTTATTTTTGTCTAAACATTGGTTAATTATTTGTCTCTCTCTCTCTATATATATATATATATATGTCAACAGGTGCGATGCCGACAGGTGACTCCATCGTTTCACGCCAATCCGAGATCCATTTGGTTCGTGCGCCTGTGTTCATCACTCAAGAAGCTCTGGTGGCTTATGCTTCGGTCATGGATGGTATGACGAAGCATCACTTTGAGACGCACTGGTTCGGGAAATCACAGGTTGAGGTTTTTAGCCTTCTCGAGCTTCTCACAGTGGGCATAGCCACAAGACTCTTCATGGCCTCCAAGATCTTGATTGTGTGGCTAAGATGGCCAAGTGGTTCGGCCACATCGCTCAAGGCCTCCACGTTCTCCCGTATGAGATTCCTGGTAATTAGTTCTTCATCCGTATCAATTTATAAGATATTTTTGTGATAAAATTACATGTGATCAAGTTGTATAAATGTGGGTGGTCTTTAACTTAATAACTAATATAAAATAAAGGAGAGTGGTTTATAAACTTAACTTTAAAATTTTGAGTTCAGATGGGTTCTCTTTCTATTATTCTTCGTCTATTTGTTTGCTCTCCACTTCCAGTAGTCTCTCCTCTTTTCATAGCACACGTATCAACAAAATTCTTATATTTATGACACCAAATCACCAATTCAACAATGTCCTGTAAATGGGATGGAAGGAGTCCAATTGATCATCAGCAGTAACCAAGTCATACGTGTTCATACCATTGAAAATTGAGTCAACTTAGCATTTACACTATTAACGAGGTGTTCTGATCATGTTTTGGCTATGATTTTAACAATTAACGCTTAAACCAATTATTTATATCATATCATGTCATTGTTGTAATATAATTACAGGGACTACGTTTGGTCGGGCTATGAAGGGGAAGAGAGCTGTGATGAATGAGATTATGAAGTTGATAAATGAGAAGAGAGAGAGACTGGCCAAAGGTGAGATGCCAACCGATATATTGTCGTACATGATGGTCAGTGCAGATCCGAGCGGAAAGATCAGATGAGATGAAGAAGTTGCTGATACAGTTATGGGATTGACTACAGCAGCTTTTAACTCTCCATGCATCGCTTTGACGTTCGCCATGAAATACTTGGCAGAAAATCCCCAAGTTTACCAAAGGATCAGAGATGGTACGTACGTGGGGTGTGTGCGTGTGTATAAAATCTGTTTGTGATTCCTTTTTCTCGGTTGTAATTGATGTCTGATTAAAAGCAGAGCAAATGGAGATTGCAGCATCTAAAGAGCCTGGAGAGACTCTGAGCCTGAACGACATACAGAGGATGAAGTATTCATGGAATGTGTTGTTGGAAGTGATGAGAGTGATCCCTCCTCTTCAGGGAACCTTCCGAGAGGCCATGTCTGACTTTACATATGACGGCTACACTGTTCCTAAAGGCTGGAAGGTAGGGTCCAATATTATATTATCATGAAACCAGACTTCATTGAACAAATCCATGCCCCCCCCCCCCCCTTTTTTTTTCCGTCCGACAAGCTAACATGCATGTTTTTAGATCGTGGGATATAAGCAGACTTGTCTTGATGTGACATGTTTCCATAGGATGGATTTAACCTTAGTAAGATATATGGTTTCTCTTTCTTGAAAGTAACACTCTCAGTGTCACAATTTATAAGAGCACATCTGAATAGATTTGACATTTCAAAATACAGAATAATATAATAAAAATAAGATTTCATTAATTATATTTTTTTAATATTAATCTTCTCATTACATTGCCTTCTCAATTTTTTTTACAAATGAGATATTAAATGAATGACATTTTTTTAGGTTTATATTTTTTTAAAAAAATAAGGTTGTAAAATATATTTAAAGAGTTTTATTGGTATATATGATTTTATCTAAAAATGTATTATATATTACTCCCTCTGTTTCAAATTATAAAATATTTTTTCTCAGTTTACCTTGGTTCAAAAAAAAAGACACTTAGTAGGTTTTGAAATTTTTTCTTGTTTAACCCTTATACTTATTAACTTGGTTTGTTATGTAGCCTGATTGATATTTATTATATTTTTCTTACTCTTTATGATAGGCAAAACTTTATTAGTCTGCAAGGAGGATTATGTTTTCTCATGTTATCGTATTTCATTAAAAAAATATTATTCCTCTCATTTAATTTATTATTGACTATTTGGAGAAAAGGATAGAAAGAAAAACTCATGATACTTATAATTGAAAGTATGGATTTTATTGGTATTTGAATTATAATTAAAAATGTCTTATATTTGAACTAAAAGAAGTAGAATAGAGGTAGAATAAGTTAATTTCAACTAATTCATGCATATCAGAAAGTGTTGTTAAGACATTAAAGTTGTCATAAAATTGAAATAATTCTTAATACCACACTATTAGTAATTACATTACGAAAACCCCATATAATATCTCCTTCCTTACGCACATAATACGTTTGGTTTGTGGGTGAGGCAGGTGTATTGGACGGTGAGCTCGATCAACAAAGACCCAAAAATATTTACAGAACCAGACAAGTTTGATCCAACAAGGTTTGAGGGTGAGATTCCACCATTCTTGAATATGCCATTTGGAGGTGGTCCAAGAATTTGCCCTGGAAAAGATTTTGCGAAGCTTCAAATGCTCATTTATCTTCATTACGTCGTCACCTTCTTCAAATGGCAACTCATCAATCTCAATCCCAAGGTTCTTGCAGCCATGAACGCCTTACCACTCGATGGAGTTTGGGTGCGTCTTCAGCGCTGTGCTCAATAGACGAAGCAGTCCACGAAGCGGCCTCCTTTATACATTAAAAACAAAAAAGATGAAGCAGCCACGGACACATCCATCATATATATGTGTCATGTGTGTGTACGTATATATATAATCTATACAAAAAATTATACTAATACAAGAATAATAAAAAAAGAAAAAAAAAGGGATAAGAGAGGACATGCATGAGTTGTGGAGATATTGTAGAGCTTGCAGAAATATTTGAATAAATCGTGTCGATATCTCCCAGTTAAAATCGTAGCTAGGTTAAGATATATTGTGTTCTGTCGTGTTATGGACAGCATCATGGCATCGGGCTTAATTGTTTACATACATACATACATACATACATATATATATATATATATATATTAATAATTGTTTTATGGTGGCATCGCGTACGCTTTAATTTGTCATTGCACAATTGAGTATTGACTTTGCTTAATAACAGTTTTGACTTTCAATAACAAATAGGGAGAGGATCACATTTAAGGATATGTGAAGAATATTATTTGCAGAAAAGGACAAATAAATAATAAGTAATCATTCAAAAAAAACCAATTATATTCTTATTTTAAACAACAATCTATTTCAGTTGGGAAAAAAAAAACAACAATCTATTTCATATTGATTCTTCACAAATTCCTTGATATGATTCTCCCCAATAATATCTGTGCATCCATTTCACCAATTTATTCCCTTTTTTTAAGTTTCCGAAACTGTTATTAATTTTATGATTTTAACATTACAGATCTGAATCATGTGTCTTTAATTAATTCCATATAGAATTTCAGTGGTGCTTTAATCCATTCAAGAAACTACTAGTAATGAGTGGAGTCTTAAAAAGTTTTAACATATAATGAATTAAAATATTTTTTTCTCATTATTGAATTGTAATATATAATATGAATCATGCCCAGTGATCATTGATCTTTGGATTTAACAGAGTTCCAGCTAGGAAAGAAATGAAAAAAAAATACTTATTTTCTAGTCAATACGCAAGTCAACCAAGCTACAATAACTTATGAATTTCCTATTACTATATATAATTAATAAAGCTCATTAATTCTTACACTTTAGGAGAACAAAGAGCATAACTAGTTTTAACTTCTTCGGATTCATGATATCTGGAAATTCTATTACTTTCTGAGTGAAGCGATCAAAAAGCTCATCAACAATTCCACGTCCGAAGTGCTGCTCAATCAGATCTCCCAAGAAAGCTCGTAACATGGAGACAAAGTTGGAGGCTTTTGGGGTTGAATAAAATTCTTCAACTTTCAGTTCTCAATCCGCTCAATACTGAGACTCTCATTCTTCTCCAGGATTTCCTTCAGATTCTTTGCAGGTGAATAAAAAGAGGCAAATTGAGTGAGTCAATCTTTTTCTTCACCCACTCGTCCCTGCATCATCATCCATGTGAGCCAGATTTTAGTTCTCTCTTTTCTTTTCTTATTTATAAATCATCTCCAACATATTTTAATAAATTTTTATCTTTGACTTTATTAAATATACATACTTTTAACAACGTATTTTCTTCATATTTAATGAAAGTAATATGGGAAATTTTCTGATAAAAGTGCATGACATGACGATTAGAGAAGTAATTCAGACGGTTAAAGGCTTCTCAATTACCACTCTAGCCATGTCCATGAGAGTAGATCCAAGAAGCTCATAAGCCCTAGAAGGATGTATATCAGATTCGAGAATCACATCAGGCACAGTAGCGATCTGAAGCGCCATTAGCCCATTGCTCACAAGCTCTTGCGCTCTAGCATGCAAAAAATTCTCCAAGTCAGCTCTGTACTGTGCTAAATACGCATCTTCTACTTCCTTAGGAGCATTTACGTGATGACTCCTTCCTTTGTTAAATGCACTGCAGCTTCTATCTGCAATCTCTTTAGAAACCCTAAAAGCCAATGAAGTGTTGAAGATGAGGGGACAAAATGGAGAGTTTTCTTTGGGAATAAGCGTCCAAGGAAAGAGCCAGGAACCCCAGAAGCGAAGTAGTTTCTATTTGGGAGGAAGCTGCTTGAAGAATGTGTGTGAAGTTAGTTGAAACTTGGTCGTTGAAGAAGACTGGAATTCTGGGATTTGATGAGCAGAAAGCTTCTGAGTTTTGTAATAATTTATTTTTCTATCAATTCTGTTATGGTTTGCATTGCAACAATGGCATTAGGCCCAGTGGAGCAGCCAAGGTCAGCAATCCGGAATGACGTTTGTAGGTCCAATGTATGTCATGGGATCAAAGTTCTTGACTATTGCTTCCTCAATCAGTTTTTTGTTAGCTTCAAAAACTTCTCCCTGTAGAAAAAAAGACACGCAATATAATTAAATGATAAGTTTGAAATCACATCGCACAATCATACATATGTGTGTGCGTGCGCGCATGTCACTGTATTAAAATGTGAAGAAATTACCAGTATGCAGCAGAAGCTTAGTTTATTGAGAAGAAGAGGCAATGGCATATGAATTTGATGTGCCATTAATTAAACATCGTATATAAGTTAAAAAGTACAAGTTTAATACCCGAAAGGAAGTTTTTGAGCGTAGCTGTGAGGACCCTCTCCTCCTGTCATTGCAAATGATGATTGATTCTCCATATATATTAGCTATTAGATGGTGTCTTATCTACCTGCATGATTTTTCTTCAGTGGTAAGTTATTTTGTGAACCAAGAAATAATAATACCGCAGAACTATGACAAAGAGAGAGAATATCCATACGAGTTTATTAATTCTGTATAGGAAAACACAGTTTCCTAAATGAAACAACCTGTAGAACTTGAGCTTTCTGGTTAATGCAAGAAGCCGATGCTGATGCCATTAATATGCATATAGGAGTGTGTCTGTGTGTGTGTGTGTATGGTGTTCAAGGATATCGTTGTTGGGTGAGTCAAAATTCAAAACATGGCTCCAAGCTAGGCGGGTGAATTGAATTTGTTAATTATTTTACTTTTCAAAAAACTTTACGGTTTTGTGGAGTTTACTGCTGCATGTTATGATAATCATCAATGATGTCAACACACTTCTGGCTTTGCTCATCAACGACGTCGCTTTATTATATTATTGGATGCTAGTGACCTTAAAATTTGGATTTAAGAGGAGAAGAGGAATAATATATAATTCATCTGGAGTTATCACTACTTCGCAGCCATGCTTCTAATAATAGATCCAAATTATTGTTTGAATTTTTTATCCTTGAGGAATTTTGTTGACCAATATACTTGAGGAATTTATTGTTATACATAAGAATACATATATATATATATATATTAACTAATTATTGATGATAGAAGTTAAAGTTGAATCAATTTTAATCAAGCAAATATTCTGAGAAATAAAATATCCTAAATTGAAAATTATTATTAAGAATATAATATATATATAATATATTATATCATAAATTCAATTTAAAAATAAAAATAATTATATATATGTAACTCCCATATTTGCAATTTAAAATCAGAAGATGATGATGATGATGATGATGATAAGTAAATATATATAATTTTCATTAAAAAAATTCATCATATCACTGCCCATTCAAATCATCAAATTTGTTTAAATAAAATCTGAATGGGCAATAAAAGAAAAATTTAACTTTGAGTTCTTACATTTTATTAAAATTTTATTGCTTTTAATTTCTATACTTTATTATTTATTATTTTAAATCTTTTCAAGATCCCTACACTTCATTTATAAAGAGACTTAAAACAATAATAAATAAAAATATAAAAATTTAAATATAAAAAATATAAAAATTAATAATAAAACACCAGCAAAGTGTGAAATGAAAAGTTACATTTTTTTTACCGTAAAAGTTGTTAAGTGGAGACACGCTTGATCCAAGTCGAAAATCGGATACAAAGATGTCGTCATTGATGATCAAACAGCCGTCCTGTGACATCAGTGATTAGCATTACTGTTGTAAAAGTCAAGTGCTTTCGAACACTTTTCCAAACCACAATCGAGGCATCAAAGTTTTGAATATTTCATGGCCTTTT